TCGAGTAAAAGTAGCAGGACCAGTATGAATGATAATTCACCAAACCAATCTACATCTATCTAGGTCTTCAATTTTCTTTTGCCCATTTGAGTCTATCTAAGAGGTATGATAGAGCCAGATAGTCTTCTTCACTATCCTAGTGTTGACGTGAGACTTTTACAAGAATGAGATCCAGCTCTGATGATGCCCATCATACAATGGATGAAATCCCAGCCCGTTGTCACCCGAAACGAGGGAGGTATCGTGGGCTGTGTCAACTTGAACGTCGGATAAAGGCCAAACGGACGGGATTCATCCGTCCTCTTCTGATGAGATCGACCTACGAATTTCTTCTTCATGCACTGTCATACGAAATGAAAGTTCCCCTCAACGCATTTGTATCATTCTGGTGCACAAATTCAGCATTAAACTGAATATTTTTGACGGGCCGGATGCAGCCGGTCCGTCATAAGCTCACTATAGGCTCACCATAACTGACGGACCGAAACGCCGACTGAAACCAACATGGAGTCCGAAGTTTAAAAGGAGTGTCAAAATATTTCGTGCCTAAATGTGTTCCACTTATCGTTTCCTGGATTGCGCACGAAGTGAATGGGTGAAAGGAGTTCTCTGAAAATGCAGCATCGAATGGGTTTCCGTGAGGTCTGACAGATGGATAGAGCCAAGCCACCAGATAAGGAAAATGGAAGAGTGACAATACGAGAGAAAAGCGGTGAGCGGGTGAAGCTGGGAGGTGAAGAGAAGCCTTAACCGAGGAGACAGAGACAAGTGAAAGCAGACACTTGCCAGACTAAAAAGAGATTCCCAAATGGATAACGACTCTGGTCCTCAAGATAATGAGGAAATGACAGATGCCAGATTTGAAGGCCAATCTTTCTGAACCCTGTGACTGACAAATGAAGCTATAGCCCACCTCACGTTATTTTTTCCCAGCCATTTTGCCTATATGCCCTACTTTTTTGGCGATTAACCTCTCTTCCTCCTCCCAGAGGTTTAGTCCCTCACTTGTCGTTTCGCGAGTACGCCGGCGTTTACTTTACGGTTGCAATCGGCGGATTTAGCAGCAGGAGATGTAGCCAAAAGTACAATGATTACGAAATTCCCTCCGATTCCACAGGCATATTCATGGCAATTAGCAGCAGTAGCAACCATATCAATAATGACAACAACAAAAACAGTAATAGTAATAATAGTGGGAGGAGGAGGAGGAGGAGGAGCCAGAACGAAGCCTTAAAGGCTCGAAAACTTTTGTTTAATAACAAAAATCGGCAGAAGAAAGAAAATAGTTATCTCTGCTAACAGCAGATTGACCATTTCTCCTCCATTCGTCAGTCTCATATGCCCAAATGCTATCAAGCTATATACAGGTTAACTGCACAAGAGTGATGAGCTAATCACTCATATCCAATTACGCTAGTCTTTTCATCACCTACTTAGTGGTTCCACTCACATTTCACCATTCACATGGGCTCACAAGCCAAAATCCAAGCCCAATTTTCACTTTTCCCACATCATCCTTCTTCAATGTCTGCCATTAATATGCGGGAGGGGAACTAAAGCCAGGCATCGAGATTCATGTACCTCTTTCAAATAAATTTGGGGTGGAATTGACCCTATCAAGGCTACAAAGACTTGAGGGTCACCCATAATTTATGCACTATTGCATGCAAATAAATCAGCTTCAAAGCTTTCAATAGATCTACAATATGCACCACTTTAAAGTGATATTAGGACCTAGGGTCTTTCAGATGGTATTTAAAATGGTGTTGATACTTTCGGAAACTACTTGTTTGATAGTTAGTAATATCGTAGGCTGTGACGACAATTTACCTTTAACTTTGTGTTAACGTTGTCATTTGGCGCCTATGATGACGCATTCAGTTCTGTTTGGTATGCTGATACGACCTAGACGAAGTATAAAATGTTCTCCAGGCTGTGTGGGAAAATCTGGAGTTAGGCAAGGCTAAGTGAAATGTACTCACAACCTGAAACCCTTTAGCAGATTAGTTTAGGAGCAAAACATTTATTTAAAGGTGGTGCTGATGAATTTTTCAAAAATATTATAAACACCTTTGCTGCCCAAAAGGAGCTTTTATCAAGGCTGTCTAGGGAATGCTTATTCAAAATGTACTGCCTGTCTAAAAACCTACTTTACAGGAATATAAGTAGCATAGTCAGTTTTAATGGAAAAGGACTCTCTTGTTTCATGATTGTTGAGCTTACTTCCATTTCAAGTGAAAGTGTTGGATGAAGAAATTCGAAGGTCAGTTCCACCAGAAGACGATGTCGGATTCCTCTTGACCAGCTGTCGATTGGCTTTACTGAAAGATTCATGCTGACTATGTCTTCGAGGTAATGTCATTCGATTGCCGTGAAAAGGTGCTAAGCTTTCGTCCGTCATGTGACGAACTTCATCACAGAAAGGTTGCATCGTCACAACCAAATTCAAGCTAACGAGTCAAGAAAATTGGTTGTGGCTGATGTTCGTCATATGACGGACGAAAGCTTAGCATTTTTTCACCGGAATCAAAGGAGATTACCTGGCAAAATATGAGTTGGCCTAGTCTACAATCCCACTTCAAAATGTGATATAGAAGAGACCTGGCTAGTCGTGAAATTCGAGTATGTTCTGTAAGCCACCGTAACTAATGGCACTTCGAAAGTAATTGTTTGACTAACCGAGTTCGAGTCCCGTTGAGTCGATGTCAAAACTGCCGTCTAGCCTAGATGCGAATACCTTTTGGGAAGCAAGACTATGCGAAATTCACTAGAAACATGAGGCTTGCTCATGTGATTGTGGGAAAATTCACCTATCAGTCTTTCATCACTTCATATCACCTAGAGTGAATGGAAATATTCGTTTCATACTCAATTTAACTGCATCATTTCCCCTGAAGATAGGTGTCTATCTACAGTCAAGTCTGATCTGGACCCTAAACAGACTCGTTGGCATGACGATGAAGAGATAGAGGGCCGATAGGCTACAAATGAGATGCTAAACACCGACTGGAATCCGCTCCATTACGACTGCGGAAGAAATGAGTCTGATGGGTAATGTGTTATCTCACCAGATGCACTAGTCGGTAGTGACCGCATTTCAAGGTAATCGAGTTATGCCATTTGTGACGGCATTGCTGGACTTGGCAACCGTCTGTCGGCCTAAACGGGCCAGCCTGGAAGAGGATTTGATGTGCGCAGAATACAAGGTATCTTTCACAACCTTCTGGTGTTTATGAGGCCAGCTTCGAGGGCAGTGCTTCTGCACTGGGCGAGGGAAAAGTGGTAAGAACCAAGTCCAAGGCTTGGCTGGACAATTAGCGCTTGTCACAAAGTTCACGTATTAAATTTATGTGGGCCTAGGCTAGTGTGTGTGCCAGATCTGTTTCACTCTTTCTGCCCTTTGATTATCCCGAATTCACACACGAGGGCGCCCACAAACGCAAGCAGTCCCCCTCACAACCGGGCCTAGAGTTAGTTGTTGTCCAGTCTTTCAGACCATCGCATAAACTCTCTCTCTCTCTCTCTCTCTCTCTTTCTCTCTCTCTTTTTCATACACCTAATCCTACTCAGTATGTCTCTTGTTTTCTTCCCACGTCTGAACATGTGTGAGTAGTCTAGGCATCGAGCCCTCCCAGTCAATCCGAAGAAATTTAAGACTTTTACTCCTCCAGTTAGGTGTACAGAGAGTTGCTGGATTTGCTGTTGTCCCTAACGCCAACACATCGTTCCTCTATGCCTTGTCCCTGTGATCTGAGTCTATGGCTAACCTAACACAGAGGCAGTTATAGCGATTTCTCACCCCATCCCCACTTTTGCATCACCTTTCTTTCAGACTTTTTCTCTTTCTTAATGCATTCTGGGTACTTGGTTTTCGGGCGTAGTACATATTTTTAAACCATGTAAGCAGGCCTCGACACTATCGGTAGGTGTTGATAATTGAATCTATCAATTTGGAATGGCTACCTACCTCCGATACCATTGAAGTTGGTAGCCAGAGTGATAGTACAGGACTAATGAATGTCAGCCACATTCTTTCTCGTGTCAATTAAGCAACAGGCATGACTTTCATGTAGAAGACGGCCTCTTTTGCCTCAACGTTAGTTTAACTTGATAGCTAAAGTGAGGTCCCTGGGAAAGCAAAGTTTTTCCCAGTTTATAGGCAAGTTCTAAAGACTACTGGCAGATCCTATTTAAGTAGCAATCGTCAAAGGTGATAAAGAAGTGGTAATTAAA